GGGGGTACAAGTCCATCTAACATCCGAGACAAACGGTAACTGAAGGGGGTTACAGGTCCACTTAACATCCGAGACCAACGCTAACTGCAGGGTTACAAGTCAATCTAACACCAGAGACCAACACTAACTGCAGGGGTTACAAGTCCAAGACCAACGCTAACTGCAGGTTTACTAAGTCCACCTAACACCAGAGACTCAACGCTAACTGCAGGGTTACAAGTCCACTTAACACCAGAGCCCAACGCTAACTGCAGGGTTACAAGTCCACCTAACATCAGAGACCAACGCTAACTGCAGGGTTACAAGTCCACCTAACATCAGAGACCAACGCTAACTGCAGGGGTTACAAGTCCATCTAACACCAGAGACCAACGCTAACTGCAGGGTTACAAGTCCACCTAACATCAGAGACCAACGCTAACTCAAGTACTCCTTGTTTCTTCTCATACCTTCAACGTTTCCTTCAACGTATTAATAATGGGTATGCATTACAAAAATCATCTGTTTGGGCTCAAAATGATACCTGTTACAAGTAAAGAGCTAGAGAAAAGATCAGAGAACATGCATGGCGGGTATGTAACGAAACAAAACTTCGATGAGTGCCTGTACCCTACGTCACATACACCCTATCCGTTGAAGAAGTAACTGTCACCATTCTTGGTGAGAAACTGCTTCAATTCAGATTTTGAACAGATGACACACGTTTTTGTATAAAGTCCCAAATGTGCTCCAGGGGATCAAGTCTAGATTCATTGCGGGCCACTGGAAGAGAGTAACTGCGTTATTCTGAAGCTGTCACTGCACGAGAACGGTGTGGCTGGAGTGTTGTCATCCAAACATGCAGCACTTCATCCATGTTCAATGAAAGATATGAAAAACTCATTTTATGGCTTCCCTCACTAGCAAAGAGAGAGTGCAGCAGATCTAAGCCTAGCAGCTAGAGCCTTGATAACGACCCCAACGATGGTGGCCTTTGACATCGCAAATCTCAAATACAGAGAATCGATGATATTGTGAAAGCAAAAGCGCGAATGATCGAGTTTCCAAAAAGTATTGGTGTCACAGATTCTGGTCAAGACTCTCATGCTTACGATAACCTTGCTATTAATTGAAGTCGAAGTGTAAACAGCAACCAATATTTTGGAATCAACGTGGAGGACGCTTGCACATATACTAAGAAGAAAACAGTGAAATTGAGATTCAGTCCCTCCATATTGTTGGCAAATGTGTACGAGGATGTGTACGTAAAAGAGGCTTATGTGGACAAATCCTTGTGATGTCTTTCAGGTTTAATCTATCTTGCCAATCAACCCTGGTCTCATTTTGGAACTGCGTCAACTGGTTGCTTATCTGTATAGTGTATTGAGTATGCACGCTCTCCATAATATTGAGTTATGTATTTCAAAGCGTTGTCAGTGATATTAAATGTTCTCTGACAATGTGTTTCACAGGATCCAAATTTATGTTTTATCTCTTAAAATATATCAGCCACATATGTACACATGAACATAAATCAAACACGAAAACACCACATGTTGCTATATCTGTTTTGAAAAACAAATTCTGCATTTTAAAATGTTAGCTGAAACCTCTTTTCCTCCGGTTGTTTTGATTGTATAACCAACTGGCAACCAACCTCGTGTAGCCACCCCTAACACGGATAACATCTGTCAGTCTCCTACTCACACTGGCAATCAATTGTCCAGGGGCAGTGTGGTAGCCTAGTGGTTACTGCGTTCCCTTACCACGCCGAAGAACAGGGTTCAATGTGTGAAGCCCACTTCTGGTGTCCTCAAGATGATATTGTTGGAATATTGCCAAAAGAGGCATAAATACTCACTCACTCCACTTGTATCGAGTTGTTAGCATCAGAATCTTCATCGATTCCTCTTGGAGTGCCTGCGTCAATTCCTGCAGATTGTGAACAGGGGATCTCTATCTCCAACTTGGCATCCACGACTGTCCCAAAGATTGTCGATGGGGTCAACAATGTGACTCCTTGCGGACCATGAAAATGTTTCCATTGCGTTGTACTGCAAATGGGCTGCTAAAACGGTAAGGTAAGATTTTGTCATCAATGAATATGGAACGACTGACAAGGAGATGGTTATTAAAATGTGGCATGATAACGGTATCCAGTACACACTTTTGATAACGTTGACCATTGATTGACACAGGTACTAAAACTAAAACTTGCACGAAGTTTTCCGTCTGCACTTCTGCGCCAATGCGTCGCTGGCAATGCATGTAACTTTGATGATACATATGGACGCGTGAAGCCTTGTTTGTGCATTTTCGCGTCCTGTTTACGCATAAGTTACTAACTTGGCACGCAATGTGTGACCAAAAAATGGTGCGCATTGGCACGCAATGGCGTACAATCATTTACGACTTATTTACGTTTAAGGTCAAGTATTGTTGGCGCACTGTATACATCCATAGTGTACGGCATGGTACGCAGGACGTGCATTGTTCCATATGGCGCATGCATTGTCACATGCATGGAAGCAGTCGTACTATTATTTGGTCCCGCTTTGTCTCGCTTGACGCCACGCTATATAAATAGCAGGCATCACCCCTAGCTTCATGCATTCCTCGACTTGTTGTGGACCTACAAGATGATTAACACCAGAGAACAAACCTTTTTGCAGAAGGTGTGTATATCTTGCAGGTGCAGCAGTATTACCTCTTGAAGACTTCTTGGTCGACTAGAAGGCATCACTTCGGACATTATGATCAGTTATTGACAGAGGCTACTGAAATTACCTGAGAATTTCCCCCGACTTGTTGCAAGAGATGGTGGAGAAACTAACCCCTCACCTTGAAAAGAAGACCACGTTCATGAGAGAACCGTTGGAGGTGGGGTTCAAGCTGGCAACCACTCTTTGCTTCCTTGCCACTGGTAATTCCGATGCAAGTCTACAGTACAGCTTTGGCGTTGAAGTACAATCTGCATGTTCTCACCAGAGGTCTGCAAAGCCAGCATTGAGGTCTTCAATGACGAAGTATACAGGTGCCCCACAACTGTCCGGGCTGTAGATGGCAAGCACTTTGCTATGAAGAGGCCACCCAAAGCTGGATCATTCTGCTCAAACTATAAGGGGCTTCAACAGCATTGTACTCATGGCCTGTGTAGATACAAGTTCTTGTATGTTGATGTTGGGGCAGAGGGTTGTGCTTCAGATGGAGGAACAGGGGAAGAACTGTACTTTTGCATGGAGCTGTCGAGGACAATCCTAGTATCAGAGATACTGTTGTTGGACTACAAAAATCAACTTAACACCCTAGAATGTTATACACATGATTGGAAACTGTCAGCTAATTTTGACAAAACAAATGAGAAATGGTCCCTAAATGGAAAGTTGATTTCTATTGCTTAATCACTATACTTATCTGGGTGTACTGTTCACTATACACTGGATTTCAAGAAAAGTGTTACTGATTTGACATCACGAGCCAAGAAAGCATTAATGAGCCTTATGGCTGTATCTCAGGCGTTTAACACATAGTATATACTTTAAATTGTTTGATTCTCAAATTCAACCAATAATGTTATATGCCTCAGAAATTTGGGGTTCCAAAAACATGATTGTATTGAGAAATTGCATCTTTTACCTTGTAAACTATTTTTATCCGTTGGTAAATCAACGCCAAATTGCATGATATTTGGCGAGTGTGGTAGATACCCTCTTTTTATCAACTCACAAGTAAGATGCTTAATTTATTGGTTTAAGATTCTCGGAATGCACGAACAACGAATTCCAAAATTAGCTCATAATAAGCTTCTCAGTTTAGATAATATTGGTAAAACAACATGGGCGTCACAAATAAGAAACCTTTTATTTTCTCACGGTTTTGGGTTTGTCTGGTTAAATCAAACAGTTGGCAATGTTCCCCTATTTCTTAACTAATTTCGAGAACAATCAATCAATATGTATCATCAAGAATGGCATTTCACATTAGAAACAAGTTCACGTTATGATCTATAAAGATCCTTCAAGAGTCTCATTCAACCAGAAAAGTACCCTATCTGTGCTAACATACGCAATTTTATTCAATATCGACTTGGTCTTTCAGACCTATTAAGTAAATAAGGGTAGAAGATTGTCAATAAAGAAATGTTTAAGATTATGTCCTTTATGTCATTCAGCCATTGAAAATGAAATCCATTTCACATTTTTCTGTCCATTTTATGCTGATCTAAGAACCAAATATATACCAGTGCGGTATCAGTCAAAATACCCGAAACTGCCTTTGTGTCAATTTTATCCTCAAATAACGAAAACGGTATTCTCCAACTTGCCTGATAGGTAAAACATGCTTCATCTTTAAGAACTGAACTGTTAAGCATTGATTAACTTTATTCCTTTCATCCTTGCATTATTGTGTGTATTTATACATGTATATCATGTATTCTCCTTATATGTGGGCCAGGAGCCTTAAATACAATAAACACTTTGACTGGACTTGACTGCCTGGACCATCTCCACTCCTAATGATGATGACAAGCTGGTGCCATATCATTTCGTAGCCGATGACGCATTGGGTCTTTGCAGTGACATTCAGCCATTCTTCTGTCTTGACAGATGGTGGTGCTGTTTAACAAATTCGGCCAGTTTCATGGTTCCCTCATCGTCTTTTTTCTGCTGTGCTTGGGGCTCTTCTTTGGAGCTCTCCTTGAGGTGCAGAAACATCAGCACTTGAGGACTGGGAGGTACAGATATCCCCCTCTCCCTCTCTGCAACCTCAGTCTCTATTTCTCTGTTTCTGTCTCTTGTCCGGTCTTTCTGCAAGTTTATATCCCCTGCTGGCCCTACTCTCTCCCTGGTTGTCTTCTTCTTCTTGGCAGACATCTTGTAGATTATTCACTGTCAAAGAATGTGGGAACTGGCTATGGACACTCATTTATGTACGCATTGTCGGTGTTGGAGGTGGTTGGTATTGGTAGTGTTGGAGTGGTTGGTATTGGTAGTATTAGGAGGTGGTTGGTATTGGTAGTGTTAGAGGTGGTTGGTATTGGTGGTAGTGTTGGAGGTTGTGGGCATTATTGGTGTTGGAGGTGGTTGGTATTGGTAGTGTTGGAGGTGGTGGGTATTGTTGGTGTTGGAGGTGGTGGGTATTGGTGGTGTTGGAGGTGGTTGGTATTGGTAGTTTTGGAGGTGGTTGGTATTGGTAGTGTTGGAGGTGGTTGGTATTGGTAGTGTTGGAGGTGGTTGGTATTGGTAGTGTTGGAGGTTGTGGGCATTATTTGTGTTGGAGGTGGTTGGTATTGGTAGTGTTGGAGGTGGTTGGTATTGGTAGTGTTGGAGGTGGTGGGTATTGTGGGTGTTAGAGGTGCTGATCATGGGTGGTGTTGGAGGTGGTTGGTATTGGTAGTGTTGGAGGTGGTTGGTATTGGTAGTGTTGGAGGTTGTGGGCATTATTGGTGTTGGTGGTGGTTGGTATTGGTAGTTTGGGAGGTGGTTGGTATTGGTAGTGTTGGAGGTGGTTGGTATTGGTAGTATTGGTGGTGGTTGGTATTGGTAGTGTTGGAGGTGGTTGGTATTGGTAGTGTTGGAGGTGGTTGGTATTGGTAGTTTTGGAGGTGGTTGGTATTGGTAGTGTTGGAGGTGGTTGGTATTGGTAGTGTTGGAGGTGGTTGGTATTGGTAGTGTTGGAGGTGGTTGGTATTGGTAGTGTTGGAGGTGGTTGGTATTGGTAGTGTTGGAGGTTGTTGGTATTGGTAGTGTTGGAGGTGGTTGGTATTGATGGTGGTTGGTATTGGTAGTGTTGGAGGTGGTTGGTATTGGTAGTGTTGGTGGTGGTTGGTATTGGTAGTTTGGGAGGTGGTTGGTATTGGTTGTGTTGGAAGATTAGAAAGAACAGAAATTCCAAAGGAGCTTTGTTGTATCTAGCCTTTCAAAAAGGTTACCCGTATCGACCCACACAACACAACATCCTGGTACATATTGTACACAACCAGACATGTTTTTGGGGTGTTTTTCTTTAAAAAAATGGTTGTCAAATGGCAGTAATGTCCAGCTAGTTCACGAAGTGGCACGTGAGAAATTTGGTGGACAAAGGCACAGCGTTATGTAAAGCGTTGTGGCTCTTTACCATGACAAAATCTTGGTCAAATACCAGGCTGTATTTAAGGTTCATATGCACCATACACATGCTCGTGAGTTTGTGTATAGTAGTGACTAGTGCTGTTATTGGCATACAACCTGCGATACGATACATCAGGATACTAAAATTTTAGTCACGACGATATATTGCCAAAGTATTGTGCACTGAAGCTGCGATACGATATGAATCCCGATACAAGGGTGGCGATAAGATACGTATCACGATACTAAAATCTTTATTTTTAACACCAACTATAGAACACCTTAAGAAAACAAAACCATTTTCGTCAGATTCCGCAGCGTTTTTCAATGTTCAGTTGGAAATAAGATAATTAAGTTTATACAGGGACTTTGTGAATGTTAATAAAATGCGAGCGCTACGTTTGACACAGTTCCAAGAATGTCCGAGACTCTTATGAAGAGAAAATAAGTATGCATATCTTTTAATCATCAAACAAAAGTAAGCCTTTCTTGACAGATATCGCGATTCGGCAATATTCAAAGTAAACATCGATGTATCGTGGCCCATTGGATGTATCTTATCATGATATACGACAATGTAAAACTAGCCTTCCACCCTTTGCACTAGTGACTGGTAGACTTTTTTATGCTCTCTTTTTTTTATCAAATATGTCCTTGGATTCAGGTGATGTTTGAGTAATGCTCACGTGCGCACATACAACATACACGTATACAGGGTAACCTGAAAAAGTGGCAAGCCCTAAAACGTCGTTAAACACAATACATAGATTGCCGCAATAATCAGGTGTTAAAAGCTCTCAGACATCTTAAATTCCATGTAATAACGGGACACCAGAGAGCACAGATTTGAAGCACAGTGAACACAGTGACATTCATTATTCGCGCTCCTGAAACAATAGGAGGGATATTCATCAGAAAGAATAATAGACTTTGCATTGGAACCTCAGTAGTAGAGGAAATGATTGTCCTGGACCAAGTCCAACAAAAGCCTCTGCAAAGCCTTATTTCCCAAATAAGGCTTTGGTCGGACCCTTAGCTCTTGCTACCATTACCCCTACTGCTTTCCCAGCCTATAAAAATTTCAAGCGACAGCGGGATACGAACTCCACATGTACGCGCCGCTTAACTACCGGAGACATGGCTGAAGTTCATCTATGCCGTGTTGACAGGAGGTAACACTGTGCCGTACGGTACGATCAATAATTCCGCTCTAACAAACCCTCTCCCCTGGCCCATCCCTCAAGTAGTACAAGTTCGGCTCGTCTGCTTTGATGTCCACTTTATCTATGTTGTAAGTTTTGATTGACCATATTGGGTCAGTGGCTCGCTTACGGCTATCACCCTCGTGTTCCCCCGGCTGGTATAGATACCTAACTAGGACCCTATCTGGTATCTGTTTCTCTTTTCCACGCAATGGAGCAGCCGACTCTGCAACTATTGATTTTAGTTTGATAGCGTCTGCCGGTTTCTTATCAGTGAGCCGGGTGACTTCATGGTTGATTGCCGACACAACCTTAGGCAACCTTGTGACCCATTCAGTCGATCGCTTCCCTGGGTTGGCCATCTCCCTAGCATACTGATGTCCGAATAAGCGCTCAGCCAAAGTCCTATTGAATCTCTCAACTATGGCTTGGCTGCGATGGGCTCCGGCCGTGCCACGCCCTGACCTTTGTATCGTGTTTGGCTAGCAGTTGTGACACGGCACCCATGAACTCCCGCCCTGGGTCAACTTGCAGCTCTGTTGGCCACGTCAGCGGACTGCGTTTGTATATGCGTTCGAATCCTCTGGCTACCTGGGCAGAATCTTTCGTGGTCAAGGGCTCGGCTTCCTTGTAGCGACTGGCTACGTCCACTACGGTTAAGGCATACTTGTACCTCTTATCGTGGGGTAGGAACAGTAGGTCTGCCTGGTGAACGTTATTAGGTATGTTAATTCCGAACTTCCTTCTAGGCACGTAGCGTGGTGGTGGTAAATAGATCTGCCACAGGGCTTGTTTTTCAAGCCACGCTTTGGCTTCCTCCGGGGGTACTCGCGCCATTTTAGCCAGCTTATCTACAGCGCTAGCTCCTTTCCAGTACCCACGCGGGCTATAGTAAATAGCCTCAAACTTTCTCTGGTTCCGTGACATGTCGTCCCGACAGGGTATTTATTTGTATCTATGTTCTTGGTTCAATTTTCTCATGTCCGTACGCGTACGTGTTTATCCCATCAATAGCTATCCAACGTTTAGTGTCCATAGGCGACAGGGACGTCTTGTTTATAGTCAGTCCATATATCTTATGACCATCACTTCTAAGTGTGTTCATTTTATGTCTAAAGGTACGGGTCTTGAACAGGGCTTCCTTGAATCTGGCGTGTTTGATGTGTTGTTTCACCACGTACTTCTTAACACCCTTAGCCTTCCGGATCTCACCATTGTCGGCCTTCAGGATGGAGTACATCTTAGGCCTCAAACCTATGTACTCGGCTATGGGCGTGCCAGCACACTCGTCCTTCATCTTACCTAGGACCTTTTTATTTACCGTGCTGTGTATGGCATGGTCCTTGGGGTAGTCGCTGGTGTCGTACAAATCGAGGTGTTTTCATGTCCTCGTACGTCCTCGGTTCGAATCTCCATCAGCAGGGGAATCCGTGTCAGTGTACAGCACTTCACACCTGTCGTCGTACTGTTTCTTAAGCTCGTTGTAGTAAAAGTCGTACATCAGGTGTTTGGATAAATCGAGGATGCTCATCCCCGTAAACAGGCCGGTTGAATTTTATGTGGCTTTTCTTCATGTGTAGGGCAACTAGGTCATCGGTGAATATCTTGCTACGGTTGAATGCCGGACTGGCTATCAGTCTCCTGAGCTTGTCTTCCTCATTCGACCGAACCAGCTTCACGGTCACGCGTTTCCTCAGGTTCTCCATAGTCTTACCGAACACCGAGTTGTTCATGAGCTTGTAGAGATTTTTCTCAAAGTCACTGGTGGCAAGCTTTCGGAGGTCTGTGTTCATTCTGATGTAGGGCTCCATCCATGGGCTCTGGTCGAACACGAGCACCCTGTGTATTTTAGTCAGCCTCATACCCAACGACAGGTACAGCTGTAGGTTGCGATAGTGAACGATGTACTTGGTCTTATTCATTAAGTTAGGCACGAGTTTTTCAACGTCTGCCACCCGCCCACCTAATAAGTTATGTTGGTACTCAGACATCCAGTCTGGGTTAACCCTCATACGTTCGGGGGCCAGGGGGTAGCTGTTGTGTGATGTGTGTAATGCCTTGGGGTACTCCAAGTCAACCTCGAGGATATAACCTTTGTTCGAATCTGGTGCGATGCTCATAACATCGACCTCATGTGACGCCCATTCGAATCCCCCTGTGGGTAGATACTGGCTCATGGCCCAGCCGTACAGGTTGTTGGCGTCGAGGTAGAGAATGTGATTGGTTGGCTTGCTAGGGTCGTAGCCCTTCACGTATTGATTATTTGCTTTTCGCGTATCGTTTGGCTGCCATGGAGATCCCACCTCGCAAGCCTTTCTCAATGAATAGGTGCATGTCGTAATCTGTAAGCAATTCCAACTTAACTCCGGTCTTTTTAAGCAAGGCATCCCACGACAGACCTGGGCTGGTGTAATACCATGCGGGGTCGAGTTTATACTGCTTGAAACACGTCCGCCTAAACGTCTCAAACACGTCGGCTAACAACAGTACATCTGTCCTCAAGTACAGGTCATGATAGTCACCCAGGTTCTTACAACCCAGTTTATTCCATACATTAATAGCGTGTGAGTAATCGTCTTGGGATATTTCCGAGTCGGTCAGATTGCTGTAAAATTCTCTGATGGGGGGGTAGTCTGGTCTCGGTGAACTTAGGCCAACTATCCATGTACTCATAGGGATACACACCCTTCCTCATAAGCAGGGGTCTAGTCTCGGCGTCTGTGTATCGATCGGTAATAGGGAAGGTATCGTTGGCCTTGACCAGACTGTCTAATGAAGACAATAAGAATTGTACTGAATCTATGAACCTAAGGCCGTTTAAGCTGAAGGAGATGTATCTCTCCATGTTGTTGGGGATGCACGTTATATTACCATCGATTTTCGCGATGGCCTGCATGATTAAGTGAGAGTCGTACCCTCTCAAGTTGTGAAAGACAACGGGAATGTTTATTGTCTTAGGGTTGATTCTAAGCTTAAGGTTACACGCGCTGTGAGCGGCGCCTCTATACTTACCGGTTACGTGACAGTGATCTCTTACCGAATCACCGTTAAGTGGTGAGTCACACACGTGACAATTAGTGCTACAGGTGTGAGCTAGCCTGTCGGCTTGGGTCATACGCATGGGAGCGA